GCATTTGCAAGTAAATGGATGGAGTTGGAGATGTCATGCTAAGTGAAGTAAGCCAATCCCTAAAAACCAAAGGCCAAATGTTCTCTCTGATAAGTGGATGCTGATCCATAATGGGGAGTAGGTGGCATAGGGAGAATAGAGAAACTTTGGGCAAAGGGGAGGGAGAGGGAATGGGGACAGGAACAATGGTGGAATGAGATGAACATCATTATCCTAGATACATGTATGACTGCACATGTGCTGCAACTCCACATTGTGTACAACCAGAGAAATGAAGAGTTATGCTCCATTTGTGTATAATGAGTCAAAATGCGATCCGCTATCATGTAAAACTAATTAGAACACACACAAGAAGAAGTCCTAGCAGAAAAGGATTCACAGATTCAGAGGAGTTTGAGATCCACAGAGGTAGCAATCCTGGTGGTAAGATGAAGTGTCAGAATAATGATGCCAGGCCCTTTGAAGGCTGGGTGAAGTAAATCTAAAGAGATCAGTTAGAGTTCCTCTCTAGAGTTTCAGAAGTCAAAGCCACAAAGTGACTGAAATTAGTGCTAATTTTCTACAAAACCAAAACAACTTCTGGTTTAGAGAACTATCTCCAGATCTATGTATAATACCCGCACACACTTCATTACAGATGACCACAAGCATGTTCGTTTACTAAACCAGACAGAAAGACACAAAGGCATCCAAAAGAGTGGCGCCAGGAATCCTAGGAACTGGACTGAAGTAGGTGGACTGACTCCTCAAAAAACCAGAACGTTCCATGTTTGAACAATGTGAGACCAAAGAGTGTTAGCTCTGAGGGATAGCACTTATGACTAAATTCTCATGCTGCCTATCCATGGCTGGACAGATCGAAGGGTTTGAGCTCAAAAGGTTTGGCACCACAGTCAAGCTCACAGGCTCCATCCCACCGTGGTCCACTGACATGTTGGCCAGGGCCACTGGGCCACTATTGGCAAATAATGATGGGCAGAATCCAGCAATAGTGCCTGTGGTTAGTTGTCTTGGCTGAACGAAGGGCAAATGCCTATAAATCTATTACATGGCCTAAAAAAACCAGCCCTCAGTCCATGCTGTAGATACAGGTGTCAAAGGCATGATTGTCACATAAAATATAAAGGTTCGGCACTAGATTTTACTGATGATCCGAAATTACTGTTTTTTTCCTCTGCCAGTATCTCAAGGGCCCCTGGTTCTCTCAGATTGCCAACAAGTCCTACTTCCCCTGCTCGCCTGGGATAAGATGTTAATACTGCAGTCACAGATCCAATATAAAATCCCTAGAAGCACTTCAAAGTACTCTGTGAGGATTATTTTTCTAAAGCACCACACCCACTCACACTGTGCACTTATGAATAGGATACAAGCAGATTTGGGGATTGTATAGATTAAAGTGGCATTAACAAAGGGCAATGAAGCTGTCCATGTTTGAAGGCCTGTGTGAAGCATCTGAACACAGACGGTTAAACAAACTCAAAATCAGAGAGAACTATTTTCCCTTGATTTAGAGACAAAGATCAAATACTTAAAACAAACATTGGTGGATTAAATTTTCTGAGTGCCTATGAGTAAGAACTATATAGTTGAAATTCATTTTCATCAACTCCTTAACAGCTGTCAAGAGCATCAGCAAGCCAGTAGAAACTCCAAAATAGGAGACTTCTGATTTAAGCCAAACTTATTTCAAGTGAATATATAAATTTTCAATAAATCTAGCATTGAGTTAGACTGTTGTTGGAGGGTAGGGCTGGTCTGGTATCCTCTTGAACTTGACTTAAACATTAAACTCCTGCCCAAATTAATTGTTACCAGTTAAGTAACTCAATTCATCCTTAAAATGTCAACTCAAACCAGGTAGCATATTTTCTGTTATTTCTATAAAAATTCTCATTTGAAATTCACTTATAACATTAAACTTCTATAGTTTAAATTCTACTAAGAATACGGTGCTGCTGCGCCCCATGCGCTTGTAATCCCAGCAATTTGGGAGGCTGAGGCAGGAGGATGGTGAGTTCAAAGCCAGCCTCAGCAACTTAGCGAGGCTAAGTAACTCCGTGAAACCCTATCTCTAAATAAAACACAAAAAAGGCCTGGAGGGCTGAGGTTGTGGCTCAGCGGTAGAGGAGAGGCCTAACACAGGAGAGGCCCTGGGTTCCATCCTCAGCACCACATAAAAATAAATAAGTAAAATAAAGGTATTGTGTCCAACTACAACTGAAAAAAAAAAGGGGGGGGGGGCTGGAGATGTTGCTCAGTGGTTAAGTGTCCCTGGATTCACTCCCCAGTACCAAAAAACAAAACAAAAAGAAAATGGTGCTTAACCCACTTCCAGTGTTAAAAACCACTCAATTAAAACAAACAAACAAACACCAAAAACCAAACAACAACAAAAAACACTCAATACATTGAAACTGAAAACCAAACATATGATATTTGACTCTTTTAGGGTTTCTGACATTTTAGAGTGATCAACTTACAAAATAAAAGTATCCACAAGATGAGTAAATGGCCCAGGTCCTAAAGCTTAAGATATGAATCTGGTCAAGCAGAAAATTAATTTACCTGAACTAAATTAATTTAAATTTATATGAGGATCCAAAAAGATTGTAAAATGTATGCCCATTTTAGATGAATCTCAGAAAAACAAAGAATGAACCGTGAATCACTAGGTTGGAAATATTTCCTAAAGAAATCAAATGAGTCACTAAACTTTCTCAAAAAAGTAAGGGGTGTGGTACAGAGCTCAACCAAGGAAAGGTGCCTTATCTCCTACATCACACCCTGGCAGCCAGGGAAGGCACAGGCAGAGCAAGCTGGCCTGCTTCACGGCAGCTGCACAAAGTCTACATTGTTTCTCTGTCTATAGAAGGGTCTGTCTTCTGCCTGCTTCTTACCTCTGTTGTACTCAACCTTTAACAAAACACTTTCAAGGAAAAAAAAAACAAGTTGTAGCTGTAACTCAGACCTTAAGCATGTGAAAGTTCATGAAGAAGTCAGGAAGTAGGTCAGTAATCTCCATTTTCCTTCTTGCCTCATAAACCATCACTTGCTTCTAAAACCCATTCTTGTACACACTCAGATTTCTAACAATAAATACACACTCAGATTTCTAACAATGATGGTCTTCTCAAAAAAAAAAAAAAGTTTGGGATTTGGGCAGATGAGAGTCTAACAGTTCCTTTACTTACTGCAACTATTTTACTACAATTGGCTTTTTTTTTTTTTTAAATCGTCTCCCAGCTTCACAAGTCTATTAAAAAATACACACCCACATATAGTGTGACATAATACGTGTCACAAACATTGGAGATCAGTTGAAACTGCTACTCGTTTGGGGAACATGTTCTAATTTCTTTTTTTATGGGTGTGGGATATCATATGTTGCAATGATGAGAAATATTGAGACAACTTTAAACAAGATCACACAAGACTGACTGGTAAAACAATCACTATCTGAGTCAGAATTTTTCAGCTAGAAGGAACATTAAAGACCATCTAACAGATTTTAGTCAAATTCTGTTCTACAGATGTGGAACTTAGGGACTGGCCATTTATTTTTACTAAAAGTTTTATCTAAATTGTAAGCTTTAGGCAAAGCCTGCAGTACAGTCCACAGGAAGGGTACCAACATTAAATGAATGCCGGTCATGCTTGAGGACTCACACAAAGCAGCTTGCTTTAATTCTTATAACCCAGGCCAGCCACTTGCATTATTCTCTAATGCAAAGATGAAAGAGCCACTCAGAGGTTTGGGGTAATATTCCCAAGGTCACACAGAGGGAGGCAGCACTAGAGCCAGGATTCAAAATCAGCTCTGCTTGCCATCACAGCCCAGAGCAAGGCTTCTGAGCACAGCACATGGCTGCTTTTGATCCAAGCGGGGGAGGGGAAGAATGACCAAGCAGGAAACAGGAGTTCTACTTCCTACTGCTTCACATACATCTGAGTATCTGCGGGGACGTCACTCCAACTTAGTTTTAGATCTTCATCTCTAAAGTGAGGGGGTGGACTGGCTCTCTAGTCTCTGATTCTTTTTTTTTTTTTTAAACTTAATATGTATACTTGAAGCAGACTTTCCTTCCACTAGTTCCTGGGAGCCCCTAATATTTATTCGTAAACACACACACACACACACACACACACACACACACACACACACACACACATCCCCCAGAGCATTCCTTCTTCCAGAAGCTATTTTACTTCTGGCTCCTGGTTCTTCAAAAAAGCACGACACCTCAATCACTTGGGCCCTCAGGTACACAGTCTGTTGGAAACACTGCAAGGATTAGCCAGCTCTGCCAAACTCTGGCCCAGCTTGGAGAAGCCAGTGGGCCTTCTATAAAATTATTCAGAGTTGGCTAATCTGCTCTCCAGCTAAAGATGGGGTTTAATTAGCTGCCATGTCCTTGTATTCACTCTTCCTTGCAGGAAGTCAAGCCAGGAGGCAAATCTTCATAAAGGCAACAACAAATTACTGATCCAGCTACCCAAGAAAACTTAATCAATGACTGTGATTCTCATAGTTTGTGAAACCCTTTATAATCAAATGCGCAATCTCATTTGATCCTGGACTGCCTTCTGCTTCTCTCAGGGTAGGTTTTAAGATGGACATTTTGCTTGTCTGTTGCCAGAGTAGGGTATGCTGAATGTAGGGTGGGGCCCAGACTCTTCCTGAATGTCTACAATCTGCCAGGCACTGAATTGCATGCTAGCCACACCTCATCCTGTCTGACTGGCACATCTACTCTATCTTGTAGGTATAAACCCCCAGTTTCCCACTCCCTTTAAGAGATGAGAAAACTGAGGCACAGAAAGATTTGCCTAAGTTCTCACCTCCAGGAAATGGTGGAGATAGGATATATCCCCAATGCCATGATATACCCCAGAACATGCTTTTTAACTACTCGCTACAACCTCTAAATTTTATCCAATAGCTAAAAAATAAAAGGGGAGGAGTGTCAACATTTCCACCAGTGACCTGGGTTACTTACAGTTTGGCTATCTTTTCCACACACAGTGATGCAGAGATGGTACTATCGGGTGGGCTGCATGCATCAGTGTTCATAGGCCACAGGCCTGAACAGAAGCATTTAGACTCTAAGGCGGGTCCTGGCTGAACAGCAGCCAGCATTTAGAAGACTGATCCTGCCCTAAGCTATGAGGTAGGAGGGTCATGGAGCCTCAGCCAAGAGAGTCATCTAAGTTTGAATCCCTACAATCTGCTTCTGCTGGGAAATAGTTCTTGTGAGTCCAAGTATTGGGATACTGCTTTTTCTGAGAGAAGCCCACCCATTCTAGGCAGAGACCAACCAGCAAAAGTTCCCACCTGAGGGTGTTGAGAATAGCACCTGGCCCCACATTATGCCATGTACAGATACACAGCCACTGTGACATCACCCAAGCAAGAGCTTGAATTTTTTAGGAGCTAAAAGCAGAAGTGCTTAGAGGGCTATGAAATAGCTAGAAAGAGGAAGACCCCGTTATTATAACTGTATCAGCCTTCAAGAAAGAACCACTGGCTTTCAGGTCTCTGATGATCCCACTTGATCCCATGCACTATAATCAAAGATTGAAAGAGGGGGAGCCTTGGGAGGAACCTGGGACCATGGAAACTAGTCTGCAGTGTACACTACAGAAACACAGTCCTTGGCTGTAGAAGAGCAATTACCTAGCATGTGTGAGGCCTTGGGTTCCATCCTCAGCACCCCAGAGAGAAATAAAATAAATAAAACAAAACAAAATAAGACCAGGTGAGAAAAGGGCTCTCTGACTGACATCTGCTAAACGTCTAATAAATAGAACCTCTGGAGAAAGGTGGAAGGCCAGTGCTAAACAGAATGAAGATGCCCTGGAGTCAAGAGGCCAGAGTTTTGTTTTCAATCCCACCACTCACTAACATCCCCCCAGGCCTTAGTCTCCTCACTCTATAAAACAAGGGGAGAGACCAAGCTAACTGCTAACATCCCTTGCAAGGCTGAGATTCTATGAGGCCATTTTCTTTTTTAGTTGTAGATGGACACTATGCCTTTATTTTTTTTATGTGGTGCTAAGGATTGAACCCAGTGCGTCACACATGTTAGGCCAATCCTTTACTAATGAGCCATAACCCCAGCCCCTTTGAGGCCATTTTCTTTGTTAACTTCTTGGATTTTATATTTTCATCAAAACCTTCCCTAAACTTCCTCATCCTATTATTTGCTAACATTAAAAAAGAAATTCACTAGTAACAGTCTCTGTGATTAGTAACTGTTAAGACTGGTAACTGTTAGCATTCTTCCTGAACAAGTTCAGTTTCTTCAATCAAGTGTAGCATGTAATTGCCATTTCCTTTTGTTCATTCATTTAATGTTTTTCAGAATGGAAAAAGTACTATCAAAATATATCAAATGGTCCTCTGCCTTCTCTGCTGGTTGGCCGCCTTGAGTCCAGGCGTGGGGCAAGTCCCATCATGTAACGCATGTTCATGGGGAACATGGCACTAAACCATTCCTAGAAGACCTGCTTCTGGATCGGGGTTTTCAACCTAGCAGAGCAGCTCCCTAGCTGCAATCTATTGAAAGTCAGCCCTCCACACAAGGATTTGTAAAAGCATTAAAAGAGAAAAAATAAAACAAAAAAGAAATAAAGAAAAAAAATATATCCAGTATTACAAAGTGACAAATAAGGGAAGTTTTAAAAACCCAAAGTTAAACATGGCCATTTTTCACTGTTTCAATATTTGCATATCCAGAAACTACTTTGAGTTTTACAACCTAACAAGATAGAGGTTAAAATGAGGCATAGAGAAGTTAACTGACTTGCTTAAAGTTACAAAGTAAGTTAATGACAAAGCCCAAATCTTTGGACTAGACACCCAGTTGTCTGTTCACCATTGATGATTATCTTCCTAAACAACCCGTCTTTCTGGATTCTCTGCTACAAACTCTTGGTTTAAAAAGACACACTTTGCATGTCAATGTCAAGACTTAACTGCAGCAGGACTGTGGCCAGAAATGTACTTGTCCCACTACACTGACTCACTTTGCTGAGGTGAAAAATGGATCTCACCCAAATACATTCTATCCCCACTTTCCCTGAATAGGAGACATTTATGTCTTGGGTAGCACAGAAAATCTAAGGAGTTTAACCATCGAGTCTTTATATACCCTGAAGCCTATGGTTTAGAGGAGACTAAGGTGGAAATTTCCCAGCACTTCAGTTGGGTTGGGATGAATAATTAAATTAAGAGTATGTACCTCTAGCCTTCTCACCTTCACAACTGACAGCCAAGAATGCCTTGCTATTTATCTCCAAAAAATTGTTTCCAAAGAGGAGAGCAAATGATTTTTTAAAATGCCAAAAACAGGGGCTGAGTTTGTAGCTCAGTGGTGAAGCACTTGCCTAGCATGTGTGAGGAACTGGCTTGGATACTCAGTATCACAAATAAATAAATAAATAAAATTAAGGTATTGTGTCCATTTACAACTAGAAAAAATATATATATATATAAAAAAGACAACTAAGGTCAAATTTACTGTTCAATCATGTGTACTTAAAAAATGGCTATTTGGGGCAGGCACAGTAGTGCACGCCTGTAATCCCAGCAGCTCAGAAGGCTGAGGCAGGGGGATTGTGAGTTCAAACCCAGCTTCAGTAACTTAGTGAGGCCCTGGGCAACTCAGGGAGACTCTGTCTCTAAAAAAATATTTTAAAAAAGCAAAAACACTTCCCCAGGAGGTCAATATTGAGATAGCAGCCTTCATATTTACTTCAGATTCTTACTTTTTGTATGACTATCAGGGTGTGTGTTTAAATATTTCTACATTTGGCAACCAGGATGTATGACCTCCTTTTCTTACACATGCCCTATTGAGACATAGGAAGCACCCTGCCAGCCTCTTAAAATGAAACACATTTGAACAGCCTTCCTGTAATCAGGAATAAGCTTACCCATGCTGCTATCAATTTTTCTATTGCTGTAATCCCAAGTTATAAAGTTCATAACAAGATAGACAGACTTGTCCATCAGACTAGAACAGGTTATTTATATCTAGTATTCTCTAAAACAAGGTATAGGCAGGACAAGTGCAAAGTGTTTAAAAGAAAACAGTAGTTCACTAGGGTACCAGGCTAATAGTGAAAACACAAAGAAAGAAGGCTAAAACTTGGCCATGTCTACTTAAGACTGGGAATAAAATATATTACCTGTTGAATTTTAAGAGCTCTTTGCAACTTCAGCACCACAGACTCAGCTCTGCCCTGAAGCTCTTCTGTAACTGACTTTTATAGCTGTAATTAACCAAAGCTAGGTGGGACAGATTTACTCCTTCTCTATAATGTTATTATTACCGGCTCATGGCTAGCAGCTAGTAGCAGTTCTCGCCCTCTTGCACTAGATGCCTGGCCTGCATAATTAGCACCTTATTATAAGCTGGCCTCTTCTAATTACCACATGGCTCAATTGAGCATTTTATTTTATTGTCTTGTTCATGCACTAGTTCAAGGGCCTGGGGTCCCCAACTATAATAAATCCTAAACTCCTCTTAGGCAGGTGTTTTGGTTTTATTAACTTAGGCCCATAAGAACATTGGCATACAACATCTTTCTGACTGAAGAGCTTCTAGATGTCTATGCTGGAAGTATGGCACATGGCTGGAATCTAGTTCTCCTACTCAATCATATGTACCAGATTTATCAGCCTTCTTTGCTATTGAGGACTCTGTCCTTAGCTGTTTGAAGTTAAGCTCTGCTTGCATATCACTTTGAACTTTATCTAACTTGGTGTGCTGAAATAGACAGGGGAACTTCCCATCAGCACTGCATTCCATGTTCCTCTAGAAAAAGGATTCAGGCTCCTTGCTTTGGATTAAACCTTGCTGTAGTTTACAGAGAGGTTACCAATTCTGTAACAAACATGGGCCTCTTTGAATTAAATGGAGTTTGGGGAGATGCTACAGATGTAATGGTTAGGGGTATAGGCGTGGAAGCCAGAATAGCTGAACTCAAATCCTGGCTCTGTCATTTATTAGTTATGGGATTTGTGACCCTGCTCAAGGCACTTAAGCTCTCTGTGCCTCAGTTTCCCAATCTATAAAATAGCATTCATAGGGCTGTTTTGAGGACTGAATCTTTAAGTGCTTAGAACAATGCTTGGCACATAATAAGCACTATGAATAGTGTTACAGAAATTTAATGAGATAAAGTGTTTTAAAATAGACACATCTACAAAATAGTATGCTCCCAGAAGAGTCTGACAATGATGGAAAAAAGTTGGCTTAACAGAATAATGGGCCATCCCTGGCTTCTTCATTTTTGGGGGGCATAATATGTTCTTTGAAAGGCTTCAATAAGCTAAAAAGCTAAGAACTCTGAATTTATAAGTTTTGAAGACATCTAATGCCATATCACAACAAAGGTGACAAACATGTTCTGGCAGCATTTAGAATGGTTAGTGAAGGAATAACTGTTTTAGTAGATAATTTAAAATAAGCACTGTTGTTTACATTTCTTCATACATATTTAGCCTAACATATCAGAAATCACTCATAGCATTATTCAGCAAATACTACTAACTTCTTCAGCAACGAACTTCTGTCAGTTGTCAGAGGGATGGTTCAAATACATGTGCTATACTTTTAACAAATTTTTATTATTTTTGAAGTGCTGGAGGTTGAACCCAGGACCTTGTGCATGCTAGACAACTGCTCTACCAGTGAGCTATAGGATCAGCCCTGTTCTGTGTTTAGAGACCCACTGAATGATTTTTATACAAAAATGATTTCATGGTATTCAAACTCAAGACTTTTCTTCTTGTGTCTTTTCTGCTTTGTCACCTTTTAAATCCTCACCTAATAGTCCTAGCTATTAAAATCTTATTTTCAGGATCTTTCATTTCTGAGCAATAACTAGCCCAAACTACCATATTTAACATAAGAAGTCCCTTGTTATCTCACCACACAGAGTTCCTTACATAGAATCCAGCTGTCTAACCACATGCAAAGGCATCTATGCACCACAACAGGTGGAGCACCTGTGCCTTCTGCAGGAAGGAAACCTTTCCTGCCTCACCTCTCCAGTTTCCCTGGAGGGCAAAATACAACCCATGTCTTTCCTTTTAAGTGCATCTGTAGAGAACTAAGCAGAGATCTAAGTGTTCGAAAGCTAACATAAAGTCTTTTCTTAGGAGGCTCCTAATAGCTATCTGTGAAATAACTATACGTATGTGAAGCTATTATCTGAAACACCAACTTTTTTTTTTTTTGGATGGTTAATCTGTCAAGGGTAACTTTCATTTTTGAGAACAGGGGAGATCCCTCAAAAAAATGGGACCTCGGGAAAGTTTCAACTATCTC